TTCCTCCTTCTCCTCCTCTTCATCCGAGGAGCCGAAGAGACTCTGATAGGAGCGTCGAGTCTCCTTCTCCTCGCGGAGTGGAGACTTAGAGGCGGTACGCTTCTTTGAGGGCTTGGCGCCTTCGGCTTTAGAGGCCTTAGCGCGCGCAAGACCCTCGGCAAGCGAGAGACGTTTGCGAGGACTCCCTTCCTCATCGCCACCGGCTTTGGGAGTGCCCTTAGCCTTAACGGCCGGACTCTCAGAGCGCACAGAGGTCCTGGGACTGTGATCACCGTGATCACTAGCGGACGACTGCACGCTGTCTTCTTTGTGCTCACTGGGCACTGGGCTGTGCCCTCCCACAGAGCCCGCAGGAGCATCATGAGTGCTCTCGAACTCGGCATCGTCCTCACTGCCCGAGTTGAACTCATGTTCTACGAACCGAGGGTTCGAACGATTGTCTGAAGACGAGGGCGACGGACTGCGGCGCCTGCTTGCGCGCTTGTCCGCAGCCGCGTCACCCGAGGATCCGATCGCCTCGGAGGCCACCTGAGTAGCCTCCTTAAGTGCAGAGCCTTTGCCGTGAGGCTTAGTGCTCTTGGCCTGCGCCTTACCGGCTGCAGCCTTGGAGCGTGTCTTAGCACCGCTCTTAGCAGTGCCTCGAGGCATGTTAACGGTCGAAGTGGAGACCTTGACGAAGAGCGCACAGGTTGCTGCTCGAGGCTCTAACTGTAAAGTGAGCCTCCGCCGCGCTCGCGCGGCCGAGTCGATGGTTTTCGACTTTGAGAATGAGAGTTTGTGACGAACATCTCTTCATTCTGATTGGTCAATAAACCGAACCTAAGTGGGGGAGGATGTAACGGGGTACGTAGCACTAAGTGTACCCTGGTTACATGAAGTGTGACACTTCACACTTCAGGAGTATGACATGTCATACTCCGGGATATTTGGTACAAGGTACCAAGGTCATTCAAAACCAACCATTGGTTAAATGACATTGCATTTCTATAGGTAACTGATAGTTTGTATTAACCACAAACTTAACCTACCTATAAATATACTCAGTTTACAATCTACCTTATTTAGGTCACTTCGCTCTCTTTAATTAAAGAGGGGACCTGTGAACTGCCGTTCACTGAGAGTTTGTATACTCTCGGAAGATAACTTCCTCTAGCGCAAGGTGCTGTGTGACCCCGTCACAGATAACACGCTGTTGCCCAGCTCCATCACTCGCGCTACTAGATGTGCCGAGCATCTCGGGTCTATTAAGACATGGAGACGGCTGCCACTCGTGCAAGAATCCGCTTGACTCATTCCCCTAGCTGCTGTCAGTCTCGTCCGCAGCTCCCAGTGGGCGCTTTGCGCGCTACGTGCCTGTGCAGCCATATTCCTCCCGCTGGTGCCGCTCGTTTTGACTGGGGGGATTTGTGGCTGTGAGAAGCTTTGGTATTTACCAGGTATACGCTATACGCTCGACGGATGTGAAAAACAATCAGCACATCGGAGAGGAGTAAAAGATCAGCTAGGTGTAGGTTTGAAGACAGTCCCCATTCGGGCAAAATACTCACTTCCGCTATAATATGCAAATTGGCTAATGTTGAAAGTTTGATATTGTAATCGAGCGACTTTTTTTTAGGTAATATAAAATATTGTATTTCCGCTGGTGTCACCCGGCAGTGCAGCGGTACTACAACAGCTATGACTGCTTCATAGGACCGAACGTGTCGGCAACATGAAACGAAACAAAACCACACGAATGTGGTCTATTACAGCAACGCGAATTGCCAGAAAAACAAGGCTGTTGGAAAGGGAACATCGGAAGGTCCACTTATTTTTCCGATGCGAAGTTAGCCCAAACTGTGGCTGCATTCATGATATGGGAGAGTGGCTAGTACATGTATGCTACTGGTGGCATTGAAGATGCATGCCATCCGGACGAGCATTCTACGGTGAACACTACCAACATCTAGGTGCCCACCATTTCTTCGAAAATGAAATAAAGAAGCATTCACTATGATTCTGTTCCTGACGAAGTCACCCATTTATTTTGGTGATAAGCCATAGGTAGAGACCATCCCAGCCGTACACAGATATATTTGTAATTCAAGTACGAGCGATAAAGTACAGGGCAAGCGATCCACCACTTTTAAACCCGACATCTGCGGCCCAATGGACAGTTTTATCAAGATCTCGACTTGGTTGTTGGTGGTTGCTGTGTCTGTCGTGTCGGCCAAAATGCACATCTGGGTCTACGGTGGAGCATACTACGGTGCAGACCGCTGGTCGATGAAGTTCTCGACGACTCAAAAATGCTACACGTTTGGTTCCTGCCTTGACGATAAGGGTGTTGGGGCTGACTGGGAAGGCATCGATAGGTCCGCCGTGGTATTTTACGAGGAGGAGCAATGCCACGGATCTAAATACATCAGTCGCTTAGTCCCAGAGGGAAAAGTGACGTTTGCATTTAGCAAAGGCGCGACTTGGCGCGCCAAGTCGTTTATGGTTTGGGCTGACGGGATCTACGCGACAAAAGGCATTGAGTTCGAATGTCTGGAACGCTCAGCGCTGAACGCAACGAATGCGAGCGATTATTCTGCTGTGATCGATGATGTTCCTCTACCCAGTAACGGTTCCAGTCTAGACAAAGCTTAGCTCTTACTTTAAGTTGACCAAAACCACGGCCTGAACAAAGTTGCGATTAGTACAACTCGGTAGGCTGGTTATCAGGTCCAAGAACAGTCTTGGCTCGGCTTCTCGAAGCGTATTTGTCCAGAATTTACTCTTCTGAATAACCTGAATGGTGGGTGCGCCGTAGTGTCAGTGACTTTGACACCATCAATGGCCTCCGTCGCCGTATCGATAGCTCAGGCAGTGGACGCTTGTTCGCTCTCGTCCGAAGAAGAGGCTAGGACGCATGATCAGGCTCGTCCGCGTAACGAAGTGTTTCGAGGTTGTAGGGCACTGTACCTCTGATGAATTCGCTCTCATAAAGCCGGGCCCTTATGAGTTCCAATCAAAGAACCTCATTTAGCGAACCATAGTTCGAGAAAATGAACCTGCCTCTCACTTTTCACTTCAATTCTCTCCAACATAGCTAATCGTAATAAAACAGGGGGGGGGGTCGCTGTGTGTGTGTCTGTGTTTTTTTGTTGTTCAGGGGGGGGATGCTACCAACTTGACTGCGGCAATCTCGATAATCGTGTGGATGGTCCAGAATACCCACTCAGGGGTGGGTAAGGAAAAACGTTCTCATTTCGTTTTACGCTGATGCGGACTGTAAAGGCGCCCAAGAATCTGTAGTGCTTCCACACAACGGAGGAATCCGAGAATTTCATCTTAAGAAGGTGATTGGCAAGATATCGGCCTTCATGGTGCGACTAGATGGCTTGTGCGCAACCTACAAATACGAAAACGTGTGCAATAGCTATTTTGACAAGAATGCTACAGTCCGTCTTCGAACGAGCTCGTAACTAACAACTTTTCATGAGTTTTCATCCGACTTAGCTTTTTGTATGACCCTTTTCTGCATATTTGCATGCCACCTTGTATTAGTACAAGTAAAGGCTATGACAATTAACCTTTTGTACGTAAAATTTGCATAATTAGTGATATTTCCCTCCATCATGAAAGCGTGTCCATGTGGCACGACGCGATGTTGTGCGTTTCTAAAACGCAACTGAAAATCTTGCACGAAGTCACCGGACACCCATTCGTCCACTACCGAGTACACAAACATAATCTTGCTCTCATGTTAAGTCACAAGTTTCTCGTCCAATTCCACAACTTCTGCCATCTCGTTAGCGGCCATTCCGAGCACGTCCTGTATCACACAGGAGTTCACAAGGGACAATGATGCAACTCGGACCATTTCCTCGGCTTGAGAGCCAACCGATCGCCTCACAAACCACCGACGCAGCGAAACTAGAACAAGAAAGTCCACTAGTCCCATCAACATCAACTGCAAACTCGTAGTTATTCATCAGGGTCATGAATTGCTTGCCTTTTCGAGACAATGCAATGTGTATAATCGCAGGTTGCATAAGCACCAGCTTTGAAATTCGCTCCGGAAATCGATTGGCGACATCCAGCGTAATGTAGCTGCCAATCGGATATCCGATGACTACGAGACGCAGCGTCGGGTCTTCACTCAGCCTCTGCTTGATGTAGAATGCCTTCTGATCTATTTGCTCCTGCAGCGTGAAGTCTCGATTGTCGTTCTTCCAGGGCATCACATGACCCGCGTGCGACAAACAACGGAATTCATGACGACGTCCGTGGTTGTTTATGAGTTCTTGCATGAGTGGCAAGAAGTAGTTCGGATTGCCTGGGTTTCCCGGGATCACGAGTATCAAAATGTTGTTTTGAGTGGATTCCATGTCTTCTTCACTCTTCAGTAAAATAAACCAGCGACATCATTTTGGTGTCATCTTCAGCCACGACATTCCACTCCAGTGTGGGAGGAGGAAATCTACTCCTACGTTTTATGTAGTCATTTTCTTCATCAGTGCCATCTTCATCGGTGTCAGAGTAGGCGACCAAATAGCGGTGACGGTCTTGACGCTGTTGCTCCAACTGCTTTTGATGGTGTTGATACGCCATACACTGTACGAGCGACAGCTATCACTGCAAAAAGTGGAGTTGAGATATTGTAGCTCTGAGCTTGCTCCTTGATTGCCATGAATATCTGGATCACGGTCGAAATGCTTGATAACGACTGCGATGACGTATTGGGCGGCGAATGTTGGGCGACGAATGTTGGGCGAAACCTGGTGCCAGCATCTCGACACCACTTAAGTGCGAGTAAAAGCTAAAATGTGCGATCACCACGCATAGTATTTCTGTCAATGTTTTTTTGCGGATTTAGAGCGATGCCTACAACCTCATGATGTTTTAAAAGCGTTTTGTTTATGCTACTGTGTACGTGTTCGCGACATCACGTCAAAGAAGGGGTAATTGCAGTCATCAGTTTTAATTTTTGCCGGGTATTTACAGTTATGTGACCCTATGCCTCTGACCCCTTCTCATAGTTTCGACGCCAACGTTGATGGCACCGTCAAAACCACCGCGTCCGAGGGCAGTGCCGCGGGTTCTTTGGGTTCAGACACGATCTGTTTCAATAGGTTGATGATGTCCGTGCGGCAGACGACATTATCGCCCATAACCGCAAACACCATATCCTCGTGTGTACAGTTGCTCACTTCGTAGGACGTCGCTGCTTGACCTGCTTGTTTCTGGGAGCGCCAAACGCCAGTTAGCACTAAATACCAGCGTTTCAATCGAGCGATGCGTACCAGATTAAAGACAAGTTTCTTTGACGAGCTCGTAGGAACAACCTGCATCGTCACAAAGAATAAGTCATCTCCTATGCCTCAGTTCATTCGTCGCAACAGCAGCGTACCGTGTCGTCTCCCCCATGCAGAATGTAAAATGGCGGAAGTGAAGAGCCTACAACGAGCAACTCAAAGTCATCAACAAAGAGTTTTCTCCCAGTTTTTAGCAAGCTCCGTACCCATGTCCCTTGCTTCGGCAACGAGAGCTGTCGGACTGGACTTTTTAAAGTTGCCCATGCCCAGCATTGCAGGCTTCATCGACGAAATCTCGTGCACCCCTGCAAGTCTTTAATTAGTTCCATTGGCTTCATAAAGCTACATACTTTTACAGTAATTGACACCAAGTTCGTACCATTAAACGGACCTACGACGCGCTCGCTCTCGAAAATATAATGATCCGAGATGTCGTACGGCGCTGAAAGTCCGATGAATCCTTTCACGTGACTCGCAATCTCCTTTTCCTTCACCTCCTAAAATAACGAACTATCAGTTACATAGCAGCAATAATTGTCGTATTCGTTTTACCTTCAGGTTATTTACAGCTAGACGAACTGCCGAGTTGACGAGAGCCAACGCACCCACGTGTCCACCAGACGAGTGTCCGCCAAGAAAGAGCCTACTTCTATCTCCACCAAGTGACCCGCAGTTCTCCGCGACCCAGAAGACCTGTCCGACCAACAAATAGCATTAGTTATACACTAGTGCGTCGACCTTCTATCCCTCTACGTACCGCGTTCTCGACGTCCTCGATCATGTCCACCACTGAGCCGTAAGGGAACGTTCTGTAGTCAAGAACTGCCACCAAGAAGCCCTGAGTAGCCAGATATTCCCCCACCAGAGCGTACTGCCACTTGTGCCCAAAAGACCACGCTCCTCCGTGCATGAAGACCAGCACTGGCTTAGCTCCTGTCGTCTCCCCCTGCTCCTGAACTCCGTAGACGTCAAGTGTGTTGCGTTCGTGGGGCCCATAGCGACAGTTAACGCGGCAATCTCGAGGCGTCCATACCAGTAATCGACCAATCCTCGCGGCCAATTGAGGCTTGATCAGGCATAAAAGGTATTCGGAAGAGGCAATGAGCTGCCCCGTGGTCGTGTACTTGAGAGCAGCTTTGACATGCTCCACCCAAGGAAGACGCGGCTCATTCTGCAGTAGCAAAGTGTGCTGCTGGCGGAGATTGCGTCCTGTGTTGCGGGTGTACGCAAGTAGCGCGAGGCCGAGCGCTACACGCCGTGGATTAAGGCGCGGTAGCTCCGGCATGTGTTTTCCAAGTCTGGTTTACGACAACAACTGATTGGTGCGAAGAGTGATGGTCACATGCTTCAATGATATGTCGTTAAGAAAATGAACGCGTAATTCCGGGCTGCTTGTCACCTCCTCCAACTGTTAGTACGACAGATATTTTAAGCTCTCGTTCTACGAGTCGTAGTTGTAAATGAGTTTGAAAACGGTCAATTTCTGAATAGTTATCGGACGTCAAACTTATGAAGGTAAAGAAACTTACGCCGATGAAGAAGCCAAACCAAAACTTCTGATAGCTACTCAGAACTAAGGCTGTTTCGTGCATTGGTCCTGACGTGGTCAATTTTGTAAAATGAAAACTCAGCTCGGACTAATTTTTGAAACTAAATACTGATTTCACATGCTGAAACCTGAGCTGGCAGGCCTCACTCGGTGTGAGCCGTACCAGGCCATTGGCTTCCTGCGGGATCTAGAGTGACTTGACAAGTCCACCCGAACGTTGGTCTGGGCTATTTCCGTCATAAAATGCTGAATGCAAGTGCACGAAACCCTTTTGTGCAACACGAAAGGACTTAAGTGCAATTTCGTGCAATGCACGAAACAGCCCGATACAGATCCCTCAGAATCAGGAACTGGGCTATGAGAATTTTTCGATTTTCAACAAGAATCATGGACAGTTGTTATTTGAAACTGTGAGCCCAAGAATTAAAGTTTCACAAATTTTGTGTAATTTTGGCTCAGTAGAATACGCGAAATACACGTGTGCCTATTAAATCGGTATAAGAGCTGTTTTAAGGGCGGTGATTGGCTCCTATTAATAACCGGTAAGCTCATTCTAGGGTGTCAAATCCGACATTTTAAAATAGCAACATGATATAAGTGAAACAGTTGGCGGTGACCCGGGTCACACCAATATACCGGTCCTCAGCTATTATGTCATTGAACATATGCATTATTTAAGTTTCTGTAATCAGGCAATGCCGACTATCCTTTCCTTGCTGCAACTCTGGATGCACTGCAACCTCGATCCAACGTCCGAGTTAAGCTAAATGATGTCCCTCCTAAAATTTGTGGTGTCGCCATCAATATCTAAGGCTGCCGAGACTAAATTGTTGTTATTGGCGTCGACTGCGTGGTCATTAGTCATCACTGTGCTGCTAGAAATGCCCGAATTCGAATCATCGATATGCAGGCTGCTTGGTATTTGTGGACGGGGTGTCAGAAAGCGCAGGATAAATGTGAATTTTGCTGTATGAGCTTGTTGCTTCCGAGGTCGTCCAATCGGTTGCTTTGCTTGCACGCCTACAGCTACTTTTCTCTTCGTACTTCTTGCACCTTTGTTAGCGTCACTAGGCTCGTCCTGATTTTCGCTGAATGCTGATTCATCCGGATGGTAACTTAAATACTCGACAGGAATCGAGAATTATTTTAACAGCAACAATTTGAGTTTTTTTTCATCGTCAGTGGAAGAAACGGTTGCCTTGGCAAACGAACGCTATCGATAGTAACAGTGTCAAGATTGTATCCATTTCCAAAAAGATCTGTAAGAAACGCGGAGCGTATAGCATTATGGCTGCCGGTGCTGATCAGCGAAAACACTTCGGAGTCTGAATCAGGGGAAGACACTAAGTGCCACATTGTAACAGCTCCAAAGTCAATCTCGAAAAAATAGTTACCCGTGTAGCTTGTTGGCATCTTATTAAAGTACTTCGACAACAAGCCTTCCCATTCACAGAAAAATGGTCGATCACTTCCGTGGTGATCTAGAAACTGAGCCCGTACAGAATTAGCTTCACTTACTTTTGTGTTAATTTGCCCCGGAATGTACATATTTGTACCCTTCATTTTGTTTCTGCACCACACTACTACACGAACGGCAGCATTATGCAAATGACCGGGAAGAAGAAACAGTAGCACCATTTTTTTGTAGAACACAAGTGATAGCATGGCAAAAAATCTGAATACTGTACGGGATTTATTCTGCCCAACGCAATTGCCCAGTATTACCAGTAGTGTGAGAGAGTGTTCGGGCTCATCATGACTTGCAAATTTGTAGCGCTTTCGCTGTTCAATGTGGTGCAAGAGCCGTAATTTACATAAAGCATCGGCACCTTTGCCTTGACCACGCTCGTCGTAAAGTAGAACGTTATTGATACCATCCGTGAGGTCAGCAATAACAAAATTGTGCATCATCAGGTTCGAGTTAAAATAGTCCGCTGATGTTTTTTTGCTATTATAAACCGGAATAGAAAAACTTCCCCCAAAATCCTCAATTTGTATTTGCAGTGTCGGTCTGGCTACATGGACCACGGGTTCCATATTAAGTGGCATTTCAACGCGATCTGGGATAATTTCTTCAGGATTGTCTGCTTTGGAGCCTTCTGAGCAACATACTGCTTCACAAAGGCCGACATAGCCCGACGTTGATTTATAGGTGAAGCTCCTTTTCTGCAACTAACTTAGTACGTTCAGAATCAGGGATGTCTGGATTCAGTTGCAGCGTCTCAATTCTCGTGCAAGCGTCGCACAAATCCTCTTTTGAACGCGATAAACGAACACCAGCAAAGTAATAGTGTACGTACTGAAGCCATCGCGAATGCTCCATAATACGACGGCTTTGGTCTTCAGCTTTTGTTTTGTATCTTGACAATTATTATTTCAAGTTACACCAGGCTTCACTAAGTACTGCCGTAAATTACGATGCGAACATGGATACCCTTCTTCAAGTTCCCATTCGTTACAGTCTGTAATTAGAAGTTTCATGTCATCATCTAAGTAAGAGGGAGTTGGGCGGCGACGCTGCCGCCGCGTGTGCAGAGTGTCGATCCCATTCTTGGTTACGGCTTTAACACCTTGGCTCCGAACGTCGTAAGATACGCCATTGGTATTTTTATGTCGTAACTGACGACATAGCGCGATTTATATCAGAAAATGGCTCAGAAATGATTTTCATATACTTTAATCAAGTGGTTTCCCGGCATCCGCAACATATAAGCTGCAAGAGGTCTCTGCAACAAGTTTGCATAACCGGGTCAGGTGGATGACGGGTTCCAGTCTGGTCCAGACCACTCATCCGAGTACTTGCTGGCTGGCAGGAATGCGGTCCAGTCGCCGCGAAAAACCCGCCGCCCCCGTCGCGGCAGCACATGACGTTGACTTCGGACACTTGTGGCGACAGCTCACGGCGGCGGGGTGGACGTCCAAGCGGCCAAACGGTATCCAGAATGATTGGACGTAAGCAGTCCAAAGGGCGCGAATGTGTTAATAGGAGAGAGCGCTGTGGTGGAGCACGCCTTCCAGTCGGGCTTGCTGGTCGAGGGCGAGGAGGATTCGGCAGATGAGGTAGACGGTGGTGAAGACGAGAATATAGAAGAGGAGGGCGGAGGCGAGGAGCATGTTGGAGTGGAGGGCGGCGAATGTGGCGGTGACGACGCCCTTATTAGACCCTATTAGATTGACACTAGTGTTCTGCTGTCGCAGAACCCCATCGAGCAGTTGTTTGACGCCTCCGACGACTCAGAGTCTGAACGCTCGCAAACCGCCGTAGCGAGAGCATTTAACCTCTCCCTGGTAGACCAGGAAGATGACGAGGAGCAGCGAGACGCGGCAGCCAGCTTGCGCCTGCTGTCGGACGCATCGGGGCTGGAGAGTGAGAGAAGGGGGGGGCGAACGTGCTGTCACTTCTTCCACTGTCCCCCCACGGCGAGCTTGAATCCCGCTGAAACCCCGCGCTGACGTCAATGTGTTGCAGGACGGAGAGAGTAGCAGTCAGTACGAGGACTTCAGCTCTGATGACAGCGATGGTGTTGGCATCTGCGATGAGGACGGCGACTCTGAAGGCAACGAATTCGAGGAGGAGGAGGATGAACTCTCTGACAGTGGGGCGGCGGACATTGATCAAGCTTTTCTTGCATCACTTCATGTTGGCGGCGATGATGCACTGAGCAGAGCTGCTGTCGAGGAGCGAACCAGAGCTCTGCGGGCGATGCAGTGGATCACAGCCTCGACAGAGTTTGAGACCGATACTCCTTCGTACCCTGGCTGGATGCGGAGGAGTCAAGGCCTGTCGGTGAATTGCTTGATGTCTGACTGCCTCCTCTTCTAACACTGTTCTACTTTGTGCCGAAACCAGTGTGGGTGTCGATCACCAAGGAGACCAACCGCTACGGTTTGCAACAAGTGCAGAGGCAAGCAGAAAAGATGGCTACGCGGCAGAGTGGACGCAATCGTGAGACCGCCGCACAAATTGCTCGGCGGCTAAAAGCAACGCAAGCGTACGGTACTCACGAGATTCTTCATGTGGTTGGGCTACTAGTGGCGCGCATGCTGTGTCCCCAGAAGAGGCGCTTCAGTGCGCATTGGACCATGGTTGAGGACGGCGCCATACCAGCTGGACTCTTTGGGCGGTACATGACGCGTGACTGCTGCCAAAACATCCTACGTGACCTTCACTTCGTGGACAACATTGCTGAGCACGGCCGCGATGAACTATGGAAACTCCGTCCTGTCGTGGACAAGATCCAAGAACGCTTCTTGGCAGGGTGGACTCTACCAGCCATCTTTTCATTCGATGAAGGCGTGCTTCCTGCCACGTCGAAACGCAACACCACTCGAATGTTTATGAAGGACAAGCCGCATCGCTACGGCTCCAAGCTATTTATGTTGTGTGACGCAAAGACCGCGTACTGTCACAGGTTTTTTTAAAAGCTTTTTTGCTATGTCGTAACTTACCGGTTAGAGCGGATGCTAACATTTCTGATGTCGTAACTGTTGTAGATTTGAAATTTATGTGGGAAAGTGTAAGAACGTAGATGGGGGTGATACCGGAATTGATTACAAGACTGGAGCAGCAGCCGTTTTACGGAGTCTGAAGACGGCGCTCACTCCTCAATTGCGACACAGCTGGCATGCTGTCGTCATTGACAGATATTACTCCTCCGTTCTCCTCGCTGTCGAGCTTGTGAAGATGAACTTTTATGTGGTTAAAACAATCATGACGAGCCGCTTGGGGTTCGACA